TTTTTTTGCCTCCACCACTAGCACCTCCATGAGTCTCTTACTAATATAACTATTAGTGTTTTTAATGTAATTAAATTTTTTAATTAAATTTGAAACTATAAAAAAATATAACCAATCATAAGAGGAAAAATGTAATTTGGAATTTTGGAGTTTGCTATTTAAGAGAGTCTTCCTACTCTCCCTCCTCACTTTTTCTAATTTTTCATACTCTTATTGATGAGTCTCTAATTAAGAAAGCCATCAATGAAATACACTTTAACTGTCATAGTATAATTTATAAACTAAAATTAGTGAAACTCTTCTATAAAAATACTATTTGGTTTCTATATATTTTGAAAAAGTGGGTGATTGGTTCGGCTGTATCTGTAGATTTATTGCAATAGAAACTTTGTTTTAGGTGTGATGATTATAGTTGTAGGTTTTATTTGTGTAGAAATTAAGTAGTATATTTTTACTAATATTAAATTATTATATCATTAAATTGGTTCTAGAAATACAATTTGGGGTTTATAATGTATTTTTAAACAAAACATATAATTGGTACAAAATAGTTATGTGTTATATAATATTATTCTCAAATATCAATTTTATAAATTATGATATACATAACATATATATGATGTATTTAAGAAACAATGTAAGTTATATATATATATTTCATAAAGTAGTTATTTTATAAATTACTTATATCCACAAAAATAATTTTTTAATAATATATATGGATGAAAACTATAATAATTTCTTTTTTAAAAAACAAAAGAAAAAAATCAAAGTGGACAGAGGAACAAAAATGGTACATCCCACCTAAATACCATAAAATTGTACTTTAAAAATTTCTACTAAAATTATTATATTGGCTGTGAGAAAAAAAAAGAAATCTACAATAGGGGTTGTAGCTTTTTTGTTGGCTTTATACATCTTCTAATGCCCTACCAATTATACCCCAAACATTTTTTTTTGAAATGTTAAATACATTGCTCAACAAAAAATATTATATACAATATAAAAATGAAATTTGCAAGATTATCCATAACAAGGGACATGAAAAATATCATTGATCTGAGTTTCGATACAATTCCGGATATAGGTGTCCAAAGCTTATGGATCCAAATTCAGATATTTAAATATTTTATATGATATTTTCTGTTAGTCTTTTCTATTTATTGAAATAATAGTTAATATTATTTTAAAATTTTCATCTATTTTTTGCAGATATGGATAGTCGCATATATTGGTGGATCCAGATCTTGATATTTGTTTTATGGATCTAACGGATCCAGATCCAGATAGTTGGTTTACGGATCCAGCGGATTCGGATAGTTGTTTCACGGATCATGCGGATCTAGAGGATCATGCGGTTCTAGATCTGGGTATCCCAAAATTTTACAGAAACTAATTTCATGTTCATCTTTCTATCTACAACCGGAGAAACAAAAACAACATGAAAAATTGAAGGAGTTCGATGATATGAGATTATTACCTTTTTTGAGTAAAGCATGGAATATCTCATCTCGAGATTACTAAGGACTTTCTTCGAACATTGTCGTCATGTCCTTTGGTTGTTTTGAAAAGTTTAGGAAAAAATAGGAGGCAGAGCAAATAGATTATGTTATAGAATTCAGAGAAATGCATATTTATATAAGAGGAGCAATATTTTGTGAATTCTAGGGTTTTCAGAAGATTTATTTCTTAAATGTAATAAGTTTTTAGTAAAGATATTTGTTTGATAAAACTTGGAAAAAAAATAATAATGACGACCAACTATATCGTTAAACAATATCTTACTGAAAAAATTGAGATAATCGCCTATGAGATGTTTAAAGTAAAATATTTCAAATAAAGTTCTATAGGAATATTGTAAAAATATGTTACTATATAAATTTCTAAACTAAAATAAACTCTCTCTAACTTTGACACATCAACCTTTTTATGTGATGAGAAGCTGACACATTATTAAAACAATAACCAATCAAAACATTACAAATACTACACATCAGATTAATATCTGCCACATCAGATTAAATAGATTTATTCAGCTTGTTGGAAATGAAGAAATTAAAAATCTTGAAAGAGGCATTCCGGTTACATCATGTGGCGCCATTCAACCTCCCTCACATGTCCACTACTGATGTTGTGGTGGATGGTTACTTCATCCCCAAGGGAAGCCACAAGCTTATTAGTCGTATGGGGATCGGGAGAAACCCTAAAGTGTGGGACAAACCGCTTAAGTTTGATCCTGAGAGACATTTAAGCAATAACACATGTGTAGAACTAAAAGAGCCTGATCTCAATATAATAACGTTCGGTGCAGAAAGACGAGGGTGTATGGGTGCGGACATTGGGTCAGCCATGACGTACATGTTGGTGGCTCGGTTGATTCAAGGGTTCACGTGGTCACCAGTACCCAGTGAAAGTAAAATTGATATTTCAGTAAGCAAGAGTGATCTTTTTATGGCAAAACCCTTAAATGCAGTTGTAACACCTCGTTTGGATCCAAATGTGTATCCAGCCTGATTTAAAGGGTAACAATTACAAGAAAAATGCATTATTATTAAAACAAAAAAAGAAAGAAAAATGCAATATTAACTGCATGTATTGGTATTTTTTTTTTTTTCCGGACAATACAGGTAATGGTAGTATGTTAAATAGTTTATCTAGAAACAGCTATTACGAATAATATAATTTTCAATTATATTCTTCATTTACTTTATATAACATAAGATTGAAAATGTATTAACGTCTATTCGCAATTTTAATTGATTTGAAAGAGCAGAAATCAAATATTTACCGGTAGTCTGGTAGGTTAGCTTTGAGTCTTGGCAAAGGAAAATTCAAGTAAAAATCATGTCTTGTTGGATTTAAAAATTTGGTTTGTAAATAATTAGGAGGTTTATTGGGTTGTACATAATCATGATCATTTTTTTGCTCTTTAGTTAGATAATTAGGCTAATTCATATCCTATCTATATATACATTTTTGGTAGACTTTTTGGCCAAAAATCTCTATACTATTTACTAATAATATACAAACCCTTACAAATTCTATCTCAACCAAATATTCAATAACTAAAAACTTACAAATCATTAATTTGCATTAAATACTTGAATTAACTCTTTCATCAATTTTTATCTTTAACTAAATCTTTCTAACTATATTCAATTAAGACTAAATTCCTAAAATCTCTCTATCTACATTAAATATAAATATATAATTTTCTATCACTATATTTGTTTTTATATCTAATTTATTTTGACTTTATATTTAAAATACATATAGGTAATAAAATATTAGATTTTGTCTACATATGATGTAATTCCGATTTTTTAAAACCGACATATAATACTCAATCGATGAAAAAATAAGTGTACAAGGTCCCACATTGCTTAGAAATTAAATAAATCGTTTAGAGTTATACTATAAAAAGGACCAAAATGATTCTGAATACGAATGAGCATGAACATTGGTTTATCATACATCCAAAATTAAAAATGTTATTCGGCTTACTCCCTTTCTTTATTTTAAATAACTTAAACTTTAAAAGTTTCATAAAATCACCTTAAATTTGTTTATAAATTTTTTAAAATATAAATAATTTTAAAATTTTATGAAGTTTTAAATTTTATAAATATTTGAATTTTATAAGAAGTTTAAACATTATAAATATTAAAAAATATTAATATGGGATGATATACTACATGTGAAATCGTAGATGTAACAATCAATATACAATTATGAAGTTTGGATCTATATTACTTTTTTTTTGAAGTTTCCAATATTATAAATATTCGGACTTCATAAGAAAATGACAAAATGATGTTTAATTTCACGGGACGAGGTTATATGGTGGTACGGGTTTGAATCGATATTAATACGGGATGATATATTATGGATGAAATCCTAGAATTAACAATCAAAATACAATTATATAATTTTAAACACTAAAAAAAACAAATATTAACAAAGCAAATACTATAAGTTAAAATTTCAAAAAAAATTAGTTATAAAAATTGTGTCGAGATGTATCATAGTATCATATATAAAACATAGGCTTATGATTTACCTCTGAAATATTTTATTTATATATATATATATATAATATTAATTATAATAAAAACCTCTAATTTTCTAACAAAAATATCAACATGCTGTGTACCACGGGTCAATCTATAAATAATACAAGTTTAAAATTTTTATTATCTCAAAAAAAAATTAAACCACAAACAAAAAAATATTGAATTTTAATAATAAATTAATATACAACAAATATCAGAACATTGAATTACTCAAGGTTTATATAGAAAAAAGTTATTTGTTAAGAAAATATTATTTATATGTAAATAATAATTCCTTTCTTTATAACTTTTTAATAAACATATCCACCTGCGGTGTACCGCCTGCAGGTCAATATCTAGTTATGTACATTCGACAATAAAAAATTCAAGCAAAATAATGTGTTGTTGGATTTAAAATCTTATGTTATTTGTTTCATGTCTCATAAATAGTAGTTAATATTTGATGATTCTTTTTTAATGATATATAATTAGAAATCAATTACTATTTTAAAATACACGTATATAATTCAAAATCAATTAAAATCTAAACTAATAAATCATGTGTATTAATTAGTCTTCGTCAATATAGATGGTGGGTTTTGTACGAGTCCATGTTGTACATTTCAGTGGTTTTATTTTCAACCAACTGATTTGTTTTCTCTTAATCCTGAGAAGCCAATGTTTATGAAATCAAGACAAGTTTGATTAGATTGAGTTATCGGGACTAGTAATAGAGAACCCCTATGATCATTTGGATTTCTTGGAGAGGTTGTATAGTACGTTTAAAATTGGTTGTCCGGAGATAGTTTCAAGCTCATTTTGTTTCCTCTTTCTCTTAGAGAAAAAGCAAGCCAATGGTTGAAAACTATACCATCTCATTTGGTCAGTTCTTGGGATGCGTGTAAGAAAATCATCCTTCTCAAGTTCTACTCCAAGCAAAAAACGACCAAAGTGAAAAGTGACATAATAGGGTTTAAGCAAGGAATCAATGAAAGTTTCCATGAAGCATGGGGATGGCTTAATGATTATACTCAAGATTGCCCTCCTGGATTCAAAAGGAAGTTATTTTCTTAGTATTTATATTGTGGAGTTAATAAGGAGCTAAAATTATCATTGGACATGACTAGCAAATGACGTTTTGCAAATATTACCATGGACTAAGGAGAGTTACTTGTTGAAAATTTGGCTCAAAGTGATCTAAGCTACAATGAAATATGTGACAGGATCGCCTTTGGAGATACCAAGTGACGACTACACATGGAAAAAATTGCAAGATCAATTAGATAGGTGGAGAAGTTCATGATGATGCAAGAAAGAGGAGTTAACAATGTTACAATGGATTTTTTAAAGTATATATCCAAGATGAAGATATCACTAGCCCAACAAAAAACTATTCAATTAATAAATTCTTTATTTTTTTGTGGTCAAACTTCATTTTATTAAAGAACCTAAAGGGCATTACATAAAAGGTACAAGGCCCATTTAAAGATTCAATACAAACCAAAAACACTGATAAAAAGCTTATATCAATAGAACTCATAGACACGTGTCTTAATAAAGGATAAACATGGGCACGTGACAAGTCTGGAGAAAAGTTGTTTCTTCATGAACTTGTCGTCGGCGAACTACTTCTGGTCACATGGATATTTCTTTACCTTCCAGTTCTTCATCATCACCCTTCTTAATAATAATATATATATATATATATATTATGAAATAATAAAATACGATAATGCATGGTCACACAAGCTAACTATATTATTGTATCCTCAGCTACATAAAGTAGATGTACTGCCCACATATCTAAACTATACAATGTCATGTGATGTTCCATAGACATACAATCTGGTACACCAATGGTTTGACTCCGGCGAAGACAAACACTAACAGGAAATGACGAGAAAAAATATTAAAAAATATTATTTATTTATTTATTTATTTTTAAAACAAAAATAATCAAAAAACAAATTCTAAATTATGTATATATATATATATATATATATATATATATATACATTTTAATGTATTGATTCTTATAATAGTTAGTTTTCATTTTCAAAATTAAACTAAATGTGTAATAAAAACTACTAATAAATTTTAAAGAGATAAATTTAAATTAAAACCGGATATTTTTATTAAGATCATTTAAGTAAGGAATTTGCCTATTTTTACATTTTAAATTAAACAAATACTAACTTTCTTGTTTGGTTTATTTATATACAAAAAAAAAATTCTTTAATTTTTTCAACCACAAAAATTATGTTCTACAAGAAAAATCATTAGAATCAAACCCAATACAATAAAAAATTTCTGCTTTTAGTTTAAATTTTAATATCTTAAAATGTTTAGAATTATTTTTATTATTTAGTTTTGAAATTGAAAACCTAACTATTAGAAGAATTAATGCATTAAGTGTTTTTGATTATACAACACCATAGAAAATTATTTTATATTTTATTTTTATATTAAAATAAATATTAGTGTTTTTTTAAATATTTTTTTTGATCAATACCAGTCAATGCTTGTCTTCACCGGACTAAATTTATCGGTGTACCATAATTTTATGTATATGATGTTAACCACATGAAATCGTATAGCTCAAATATGTGACCATGCAAAACATCTACTTCGTGTAGCTAAGGATAAAATAATATACTTGGGATGTATGATCATACATTCTCTGATACTTAGTGTAGTTAGAAATATTTTTTCCTTAGATTTATTTGTTCAATTGTGACTATAACAATTAGAAGATATTTTCTATTATATATATTGAAAAACGACCACGTTTAATCGTATCGTCGATATGTTTTCAATTAATTATCTAATTTTTAATTAAAAATGTACTAAACACAGTGACAAGCAAAATAATAATAAAACAGTTAAAAATATGAAAATATGAATGAGTCTATGGTGCAGTTTTGAGAAAAAAGTTTTGATAATACTTTTCTTTTAGAAATTATATAAAAAACATTAATATAAGAAATTATTATGATTCCTATAGACAATTTTTTTGCCTCCACCACTAGCACCTCTATGAGTCTCTTACTAATATAACTATTAGTGTTTTTAATGTAATTAAATGTTTTAATTAAATTCGAAACTATAAAAAAATTTAACCAATCATAAGAGGAAAAATGTAATTTAGAATTTTTAGAGTTTGTTATTTAAGAGAGTCTTCCTACTCTCCCTCCTTACTTTTTATAATTTTCCATACTCTTATTGATGAGTCTCTAATTAAGAAGACCATCAATAAAATACACTTTAACTGTCATAGTATAATTTATAAACTAAAATTAGTGAAACTTTTCTATAAAAATACTATTTGGTTTCTTTATATTTTGAAAAAGTGGGTGATTGGTTCGTCTATATCGGTAGATTTATTGCAATAGAAACGTTGTTCTAGGTGTGATGATTGGTTGTAGAAATAAAATTTGGGTTTATAATGTATTTTAAAACAAAACATATAATTGGTAAATAATAGTTATGTATTATATAATATTATTCTCAAATATCAATTTTATAAATTATGATATACATAACATATATATATGATGTATTTAAGAAACAATGTAAATTATATATATATATATATATATATATATATATATATATAACCCAATAAAAAGAGTTATATATATATATATATATATATATATATTTCATAAAGTAGTTATTTTAAAGATTACTTATATCCACAAAAATAATTTTTTCATAATATATATGGATGAAAACTATAATATTTTTTTTTTTTAAATAAAAAAAAAAAAAGTGGAAAGAGGAAAAAAAATTGTACATCCCACCTAAATACCATAAAATCGTACTCTAAAAAATTGTACTTAAAATTATTATTTTGGCTGTGAGAAAAAATAAGAAAGCTACAATAGGGGTTGTAGCTTTTTTGTTGGCTTTATACATCTTCTAATGCCCTACCAATTATACCCAAAACATTTTTTTTTATAAATGTTAAATACATTGCTCAACAAAAAATATTATATACAATAGAAAAATGAAATTTGCAAGATTATCCATAACATGGGACATGAAAAATATCATGGATCTGAGTTTCGATACAATTCCGGAAATAGGTGTTCAAAGCTTATGGATCCAAATTCAGATATTTAAATATTTTATATGATATTTTCTGTTAGTTTTTTTATTTATTGAAATAATAGTTAATATTATTTTAAAATTTTCATCTATTTTTTGCAGATATGGGTAGTTGCATATATTGGTGGATCCAGATCTTGATATTTGTTTTATGGATCTAACGGATCCAGATCCAGATAGGTGGTTTACGGATCCAGCAGATCCGGATAGGTGTTTCACGGATCATGCGGTTCTAGATCTGGGTATCCCAAAATTTCACAGAAACTAATTTCATGTTCATCTTTCTATCTACAACCGGAGAAACAAAAACAACATGAGAAATTGAAGGAGTTCGATGATATGAGATTATTACCTTTTTGAGTAAAGCACGGAATATCTCGTCTCGAGATTACTAAGGACTTTCTTTGAACCTTGTCGTCATGTGCTTTGGTTGTTTTGAAAAGTAAGGGAAAAAATAGGAGGCGGAGCAAATAGATTATGTTATAGAATTCAGAGAGATGCATATTTATATAAGAGGAGCAATATTTTGTGAATTCTAGGGTTTTCAGAAGATTTATTTCCTAAATGTAATAAGTTTTTAGTAAAGATATTTGTTTGATAAAACTTGGAAAAATAATAATAATGACGACCAACTATATTGTTAACAATATCTTACTGAAAAAATTGAGATAATCGCCTATAAGATGTTTAAAGTAAAATATTTCAAATAAAGTTCCATAGAAATATTGTAAAAATATGTTACTATATAAATTTCTAAAATAAATATCAGTTCAATTAAACTAAAATAAACTTTCTCTAACTTTGACACATCAACCTTTTTATGTGATGAGAAGCTGACACATCCTTAAAACAAGAAACCAATCAAAACATTACAAATACTACACATCAAATTAATATCTGCCACATCAGATTAAATGGATGATTTCAGCTTGTTGGAAATGAAAACAAAATAAAAAGCTTGAAAAACTTGTCAATTCCTCTTTGATCTTTCCGTCTTTACTTTCTAATTCTCGTGTATCTATTTTGAATAGTTGTAATACTTGTATCAGTTTTTAAATTTAATTTTAGGTTAGGTTTTGTAATTAAGTTCGTTAAAGAAAAATTAGGAATTAGCAGAGGGGAAGATATGATAACCTTATTACCTGGATCTTTGTTTCGTTATAGGCTTAGCTTTCTTACAAGTAATGAAGCTGTTTGGACAAGTGTTTTGTCATATAGATATAGAAATCTATTGAAATGGGTTCCAAGATTAGAATTAGTAAAATAAAATACTACTAAATTTAAAATATGAGAAAATACAAAATAATAAATCCTAAAAGTCTTTGTTTTAAACCAATCACACTTATATTAAAACAAAATTAATTTACAAAACATATCATGCAGCGTAACACGAGTTTTTACTTAATTAATAGTAATATTAAATTAAAACCTGAAATATTCAAATTCTAATTTATATGAGTTAACATGTAACAAATATATTTAAAAATGCTTTAGAAGATGCGATAAAAAACTTTGAAGATTTTTTCACAAGTTAGTGAAAAAAAAAAAAAAAGATCAAGTTACAATAGAAAACATATAAAAAGTTGCAGATTCATTTACTATGTTCCCAATTTCATTTTTGATGAATATGAAGAAGAAGAAAAATATTGTGTTGTCAAGGCCCAAATGAAGCCAATAATTGAGTGGATGGATAGATAATAGCGTGAACAAACCTAAATCGATTGCGTGAATCAAAAGCATCAGCCGCTTGCTTTAGATCTATACATTCCTTCGTCTCGTGATTGTTGTGAAAACTCGAGTTTTAATCCTCTCCCTTCTAAGATCTTTGAGAGCAAGGCATTGGTTTGGCTCAAGATACAGTTTCAAGATGGTGTCAGCATTGATGTGAAACGTGGTGTTTCTCTTCCCAAGCTTAAGACCCTCCACCTTGATTATTTCAAGA